TAGTTGGCTCTTATTCAAAAGTGCTAAAGCCCTGTCCTATCCAGGGGAAGCCACATTTCTCCCCAGGTACAGCAATTTCCAATTACTTTAAGAGGAGGAAGAAATAGAGGAAATTTCACAAAACGACAGCCAGGCCCCTTTGGGAGTCTTGTTCTGAATGCTCCTCACCTCTGAGCAACTTGTGTACTGCCACCCACAGACTCTTTTATGAAGTTCAGCCAGCACAGCCCCCAGCCCCCAGAGGGAAATGGCCTAATTAAAATCACACTTCACACTGCCAAATTGGATATGCTCGTCTCAGCTCCAAGAATGTCTTGGAAAAGTATCTGGCGTTGAGTGAGTCTTTCCCGGAAGGGATTTTTGTTGTTGTTGTTGTTGTTGCAACAAACGGCAAATTCAGCAGATGGAGGGGAGAGGAATCTTGGTTTGAAATTTCCTGCCGGTCCATGGCTCCCTTCTCTTGCTTTCTTTCTATGCCCGTGTCTTGTCGTATGACATCTCCTCCTTTTACATGAACGTTGCAAGGATGACAAGATGAAGTATTTATCATCAAACACTGCACCGTGTAGCACAGAGATAAAGCATAAGAGAATTAGACACCCACCGCAAAGCTTATGTTTGATTTCTAACTTTTCTTTTGAAAGCTGAGCAAGGTACTTCATTACTGAAATCACATTTTCCCTATGTGTGAAATGGGGGTAATAAACACCCCACACAGGTGTGATGTGGTTGGCACATTCTGAGTACTAGAGAAACGATAGCAATTATTATTGTAATTATTAGATTTCTTTGTATTACCAGAGTATTATCAATAGATAATTTGAGGAAGACATTAAAATATTACCAATTATCCTTGAATGTTTTTCCATTAGCTAACTGTTGGACCTAAGAAAAGTAGTTCTGCCTCCATGAGTCTCAATGTTGTCATAAAAAGAGGAATTTTGAATAGCCGATCTGTAAGAACTCTTCCAGCTCTAATGCTCTGCAATTCAGACTAACCAAGATTGACATTCATTGTTCACTTACCCATTTATTCAACAAGAACTTCAATAAAAATTCAGTGTTTATTTAGTCCATAGTGTGTACCATACACTACATTCAGCAGTGTATGTAGATTAACTAAGGAAGTCCTCATAACAATACAATTTATGATTAAAAAATACTTTATCTTCTGTTTCAAAGTTTGCTGAAAGTCTTACTCTCTTCTATTCAATCTATGCTTTTTAGCATAAAGACAATAATTTCAAACAAAGTTCTTAACTGCATAATCAAAGAGAAAATAATAACTAATATTTACTAAATTGGGTGCCTTTTATGTGCCAGACACTGTGTTCAATTCTTGGCAGGCTGCGTTGGATATATCTTCTGTGCCATATTGGGTTTTCTTAGTGCTAATCCCTCCTAGACTTCAAATGCTGGTAGTACCTCCGCAATCACAGCAAATCACATCCTTCTTTAAGGGTTATTCACAAGCTTGCCTCTGTGGCCATAATTTTATGTGTCAACTTGACTGGGCGAAGGGTTGCATAGATGGCTGGTAAGACATTATTTCTGGGTGTGTCACTGAGAATGTTGCATTTGAATTTGTGGACTGAGTAAGGAAGATCATCCTCACCAAGGTACGTGGGCATCATTAATAGGTTGAGAGCCTGATATAACAAAAAGGTGGACAAAGAGTGATTTTCTTCTTTTTTCCTCCACTAGAGCATCCATTTTCTCATGCCCTTGGACATAATTCCTCTGGTTCTTGGGCCCTTAGACTCCAGGACTTATGCTAGTGGGCCCCCCCATCTCAACTCAGCACAGATTCTCCAGCCCTTATAGTTAGATTGGGAGCTATACACACTGGGAGAACCCTGCCCATTGTTCTCAGGCCTTTGGACTCAGACTGAATGACACTACTGGCTTTCCTCGTTCCCCAGCTAGCAGATGGCAGATGGTAGAATTTATTGGCTTTCATAATCACATGATCCAATTTCCACAATAAACATTATACCTGTATTCATATTTCTGTATCTATATTTATATCTGTATCATCTATATCTACATCTATATCCTATTAGTTACGTTGTTATGTTTCTCTTCTCTATAAACCCTTACTAATACAATGGCCAACAAGATCTGGTTGGGTCTGTCTGACTCGTCTTGGAGCTGACCAGCAGCTTCCCCAGGAGGATCAGTCCTTTACCACTTGAATTGCCTTGCAAAGCCAAACTCACCAACTACATGCCCTGTAATTCAGGTTTTTCTTTCCATTTTCGGATATGGTTGAAATGCACAGCATGGAGTGTGGGTTGGGGTGAGAAATTAAGTTTTCTAAGCAACTGTCCAATGGGATAGATACAGCATTCCAGAAATATGGAGTATTAATTATGGACAACAGAAACCAAAAGAATAAATACTGTCCTAAGGAATGCTCTGAGATGTGGATTCTTTATGCTACTGCCTGGAGATGGCCCATATGGCCATGCGGGTATACCTCTCATGGTACAGCTGTGTCTCTCTACAGTTCATCATGAAATGGTGAACAGCATAGCAATGTGTTACTTTGAATTTCTGTACACCTTTCCATGCCTCACTTTCTTTTTCTTACATTCTTGCTGCTCTGGGATGGTATCTGCCAAAATTCAGCATTTTCACCTGCTTCTTGCAACAAGTTTGATTTCTGGAGAACATGGACTAAGACCATACAATATTATAACTACTTCTCACAATAACCCTATGGTACAGGGGCTATTTTTATTCTCAATTTACACAGGAGAAGAAAGGGTTACAAATATAAAATGAATGGGTCAATATCACAAAGTAAAAGCAAAAGGAAGAATTAGTACTTTAACTAAGGGCTGTCTTATTTCGACACCAACATCCTGAAACATTTATCCTATAGCTGTGGTAAATTAATTTGTAGTAAGAACATGCAATGATAAGCTCAGGATGGTAAAATAATGTCGACAAGATCCAGACCATTAGAGGGACAGAGAGATATGCTCTAAATTTGAGCTGACTTTCTAAAGAATGAGTAGGAATTGACCAGGTGAAGTGGATTGGTTAAAGAATCTTTTAAATTTTTAAAAATTAATTAATTAATTAATTTTTGAGACAGAATCTCGCTCTGTCACCCAGGCTGGAGTCCACTGGCACAATCATGGCTCATTCCACCCATGCTCAAGTGATCCTCCCACGTCAGCTTCCCAAGCAGCTGGGACTACAGGTGTGTACCACCATGAATGGCTAATTTCTTTTTAAAAATTTTTATAGAGACACGGTCTCACTATGTTGACTAGGCTAGTCATGAACTCCTGGGATTACAGGTGTGAACCACCAGGTCTGGCCTTGGGTTTCTTTAATATCTTTTTAAAAAATTGATTTTTAAAGAGCAGTTTTAGATAATAGAAAAATTAAACATATTGTGGAACATATATGCCATGGAATACTATGCAGCCATAAAATGATGAGTTTGTGTTCTTTGTAGGGACATGGATGAATCTGGAAACCATCGTTCTAAGCAAACTGACACAAGAACAGAAAATCAAACACTGCATGTTCTCAGTCATTGGTGGGTGTCTATGAGAACACATGGACATAGGAAGGGGAGCATCACACACTGGGGTCTGTTGGGGGGGCAAGGGAGGGGCAGTGGAAAGGGTGGGAGGTTGAAGAGGGATAACATGGGGAGAAATGCCAGATGTAGGTGACGGGGGGGATGGAGGCAGCAAAACCACATTGCCATATGTGTACCTATGCAACAATCCTGCATGATCTGCACATGTACCCCAGAACCTAAAGTATAATAATAAAAAGTCTCATATACTACCTTCACCTTCTCCATACCTCCAGTATCCCCTGTTATAAACATCTTGCAATTGTGGGGTACATTTGTTGCCACTGATGAACACATATTGATATATTGTTGCTAACTAAAATACATAGTTCACATTAGGGTTCATTCTTTTTGTCACAGTGTGCTACTTTAACAAACACATGACAGGTAACTTGAATGTTGCCCAGATGTCTGCAGAATTATAAAGTAGTTTATTCTTTTGCAGCTTATCTTGCTTCACTGTATGCAGTATGCATTGCTGATTTACTTTCCCACTGGACAGCTGTGGTGACAAATTTTTACTACTCAGAATCCATTCATGGTTACCAAATGTTTTGAGAATCAAGTCTCAAATCCTCATCTCTATCTGGTTTTGTTTTATTTTATTTTATTGCATTTTAGGTTTGGAGGTACATGTGAAGAACATGCAAGATTGTTGCATAGGTACACATGAGGCAGTGTGATTTGCTGCCTTCCTCCCCATCACCTATATCTGGCATTTCTCCCCATGCTATCTCTTCCCAACTCCCCACTCACCCCGTCCCTCCCCTATTTGCCCCCAACAGACCCCAGTGTATGATGTTTCCCTCCTTGTGTCCATGTGTTCTCATTGCTCAACACCCGCCTATGAGTGAGAACATGTGGTGTTTGATTTTCTGTTCTTGTGTCAGTTTGCTGAGAATGATGGTTTCCAGGTTCATCCATGTCCCTACAGAGGACACGAACTCATCGATTTTGATGGCTGCATAATATTCCATGGTGTATATATGCCACATTTTCCCTGTCCAGTCTATCATCAATGGGCGTTTGGGTTGGTTCCAGGTCTTTGCTATTGTAAACAGTGCTGCAATGAACATTCGTGTGCATGTGTCCTTATAGTAGAAGGATTTATAATCCTTTGGATATATACCCAGTAATGGGATTGCTGGGTCAAATGGAATTTCTATATTTCTAGGTCCTTGAGGAATCGCCACACTGTCTTCCACAATGGTTGAACTAATTTACACTCCCAACAACAGTGTAAAAGTGTTCCTATTTCTCCACATCCTCTCCAGCATCTGTTGTCTCCAGATTTTTTAATGATCACCATTCTGACTGGCGTGAGATGGTATCTCAGTGTGGTTTTGATTTGCATTTCTCTAAGGACCAGTGTTGATGAGCATTTTTTCATATGTTTGTTGGCCTCATAGATGTCTTCTTTTGTGAAGTGTCTGTTCATATCCTTTGCCCACTTTTGAATGGGCTTGTTTGTTTTTTTCTTGTAAATCTGTTTTAGTTCTTTGTATATTCTGGATATCAACCTTTTGTCAGATGCGTAGTCTACCTAGTTTTGAAGGAGTTATACTGCTTATAGGTCTCACCCTCAAATTTCTTGGAGATGCTGCAGGTAATAACTGACTAATACAAGGGCATAAAACTGAGTCTTCTTGCCTCATGGTGAGTCAACTCTACGGCACCAGTGAAGATTCACCTGGCATATCGGACAAGATGAAGCCTTGTCTAGTGTCTTCCTTTGCTCTATTAACAAAGGTCGTCTTTGTGACTTTTCCACAAAGGAGGGCTTCTACTATTGGGAGATTTTGGAAAGCAAGGGAAATTTCCAGGAAAATACACATACACACACACGCACATACACACAAAGGCATTTCAATGTACCATAAACACAAAAATATCTATCATCCAAGCTTTGTGTAGTATCAACCTGTCATCCTGGCAATGTTCTCCCATTGATATGCCCTTCTGCCCTTGTACATTAGAACAAGTACAATCTTTAATTGGCTCCAGCCATTATTTCTCATTACTCATAAAATCAGAAACTTAGTCATTGTTCATATTTTGTAATCCAAGGCCAAAAACACTGTATTTTGCATATATATACAAAATGGTGTTTTTTTGTCCTTGGATTTTATAATATGATTAGCTTGCAGCTGAATCTTCTAGTAGCTCCCAGGGACCATGGAGCAATAATTCGAAGTGGCTTAGTAGAGAGATCTGTGGCAGAGGGCCAGTTCTCCCTTCCAATAGTTCAACCCAAAGAGACTGGAAGGAGAAAAATAGAGCACCCTGGAGGCAAGAATGCTTGAAAATCCCCCTCTCGCTTAGTGAGAATGAAAAAGTTCTATTCATGACTTTTACCACCAGGTTTAGGCCTCTGCTGAAAAACAACAAGGAATTTGGAATATCTGCTTAAAATGAGTGTAAATATTTACCCACATATGCTGAAATATTCTTGTGACATTTAGTCTGATGCATACTGCCAGGAGAGAAGGAAGCTCCTGAGCCAAACACAGGAATTTTTTATTTTTAATCTTCCCTGGGAGTAGAGCAAACATTTGCAATGATCTAAAATGTATTAAATTCACTAACCCTGGAATTCATAACTGGTAATGCGTTGAGCACTATCGTCTTGTTCAGAACGCCAGTGTTTGCAAACTCTACATTCCTTACTCTTCTCGTTATTCTTCAAGAACTTGAACAGGATTATTCCTATTATTAGCACCATTATAATTAAACAGGCAAAAAACATATGTACCTGTTTGACTTCATAGTGTAACAATCCCAGTGTGATTATGAAATGTATGATTCTATTTATGAGTGCTTGTCACGGGCAAAATATTTTTACATTCATGATCTATGGCATAGCAGGCATTCAAATGTTCGCTGACTCAATCACTCCCTTATCTTTACCATGTGACGGAATCTTTGCTTAGAGCTTTACATGCATTTTTTTCATTTAGCATGAAGATAGAATAACTACATAGGGAAAGTATGATTCTTCATTTCAGCAGGTGGGAAAATTGAGGTTTAGACTGGACAAATGACTAGAATAGGCATTTGAATAACAACCATGTGTTACATGCCCACTATGTATAAGACCCCATGCTAGGTGCCAATGTTAACTATATGTATACACACACACACACACACACACACACACACACACACTATCTGCCCATGCCATGGTATGTGTATAGAGCCCAGAGACAGGAAGACATATAAGTAGTTAGAAAATAGCACTAGTGTGGTAAGGTACAGGGATAGGACCACAGAGAATGGGTAACTAATTTACTTGGTGCAGTGCATACGAGGCAAATGGAGGTTGTAAAATGATTAATGAAAGAGTCTGAGATTCATCTTAAGACTGAGTGGGAGTTGAGTGGAAGTGTGTGTGGCAGTGGTGAAGACAGAAGCCTGTGCTTATACAGAGCATCTCAGGTAGTGGATGTCCACACCATCTATTAAAAAAAATGCATAAAGAAAATGCCAAGAACCTGCAGAGGCTTGCTCTGTCTGTAACCAAGGGCACTCACGGAGGAGAATCGTGGAAGGAGCTCAGCTGTCAAATAGGTTCCAAATCATGAATGACTTTGAATGTCATGCTAAGAAGTTTGGACCCCATAACCAGTAAGTGGCAGAGCCTCAGTCTGAATTCCTTAGGTCTACTTCGTTCCCTCTACCATTCCCAGTGACACTTTCTGACTCTGTGTGCATACATGTTATGGTTTGGTTGTTTCCCCACACAAAATCTCATCTTGAATTGCAATTTCCCATAATCCTCATAATCTCCACATGTCAAGGGAGAGACCAGGTAGAGGCAATAGAATCATGGGGTAGTTTTCCCCATGATGTTCCCATGAGAGTGAGTTCTCACGAGATCTGATGGTTTTGTAAGTGTTTGGTAGTTCCCCTTGCATTCATTCTCCTTCCTGCCACCTTGTGAAGAAGGTGCTTTCTTTCCCCTTCCTCCATGATTATGTTTTCTGAGGCCTCCACAGTCATGCCGAACTGAGAGGCAATTAAGCCTCTTTCCTTTATAAATTACCCAGTGGCTGGCAGTTCTGTTTAGTAGTGTGAAAACAGACTGATACAATGCATGTGTGTGGTTGTGTATGTGGCTAGAAATCTACAAGCGCACACTATTTCTGCATTTTGAGAGCTGTGACAGAACTGGCGGGGACTGGATATTCATCCAAGGGCAGTATAAATCACAGAAACGTTTCTGTTTCAAACACACTCAGAGGTTTGAACCAGGCTGAGAAAAGTTACATACAGAAAAACTGGTCGACAATTCCAAAGAATAGAAAAAGAATGTTTGTAATGGGATGAAAACATTTGCAAGTTCCTTGGGGCTACTAAAGTGTTTGGATGTTATGTGTTCTTTGTAAGTTGTAAATTTTCCGTGTAGACATTTACCAGAATTTTAAAATGTATTTATATTTTTAAGCTGATGATGCTTTGGAATATTCCATCAGGTCTGCTGTCCAAACTGAATGATGCTGACGATAGAGTTAGTAAGAAGTGAAGGCTCACATTCATTCTTTCTGCCTAAAACCTGTACCACACTTCACTTGGCTAATTTCCATTTGTTCTTCAGGTCTCAGAGAAGACTGTATTGAATTCCACATCCTAAATAAGTTCTCTACATAGAAACTTTTTAAAATAATATTCTGTACTTCCATTTCATGTAGCATCACAACTGTATCTTAAATAACCATGTATGTAATTGTCTGCATGTTCATGCTCATTTTCTTTCCAATCAACATAATGGCTGGTCATAGGGAATGTCTGGTTCACTCAGTAAATGTGTTTTAAACAAATTAATGAAAATTAAACAAAAATCAGACAGATCATCATAAGAGCCAATCTGGTGTTTAAATTAGTATCTGGCTGGACACAGTTGCTCATGCCTGTAATCCCAGCACTTTGACAGGCAGAGGCAGGTGGATCACCTGAGGTCAGGAGTTCAAGACTAGCCTGGCCAACATGGGGAACACTTGTCTACTAAAAATTAAAAACATTAGCTAATCATGGTGGTGCACACCTGTAATCCCAGCTACTCGGGAGGCTGAGGCAGGAAAATTGCTTGAACCCAGGAGGCAGAGGTTTCAGTGAACCAACATCATGCCACTGCACTCTGGCCTAAGCAACAGAGGAGACTCCGTCTCAAAATAATAATAATAAAAATAACAAAAATCAAAGAAATTAGTATCCAAAGGGTTCCACCAGTGTTCTCAAAGAATGAAATTAAACCTGTAGTTTTAAGATGATGGCTTCAATGTACAATTATTGATTATCTTTTATGTACCAGGCTCTGGGCTAACCACTCGATATGTGTTTTCTCATTTAATCTTCACAACAACCTTATGAGATAGTAATGTTGGCTGAGACAGAGACTCGTGCTCTCTTTTCATAATGGAAAGTTGTTGTTGGTAAGCAGCTTCCTTGCCAGGGTCTTATTCTGGCCCCCCATGTATCTAGGTGGGCAACGTGAACGGCTGGCTCTGTTCAACAAAACATGAGCAGATGGGATGTATGTCACTTCTGGGTCCAGGCACTTGAGTCTCTGGCATTTCATACCCATGTTCTCCCTTGTCTTTCTACAGTAAACTTTGAGATCATGTGTTGAAGACAGAGACAACAACGTGGAAGGAACCTAGGTCATTGAAAGATGGCATGGACAAAGAACTCCTAAACACAGCCAACTGTTATTTGACTAACAAAGGAATTGAGAAACAGAGAAGTTAAGTGACTTTTTTATAGCTAGTAATCAGAAATCATCAGAAAAATAATCTACTGTGATAAGAGTGCTATCAGAATTTCAACAACATTGAACATTACTTATCCTAGCTAATATAGGTACATAATAAAGGTACAATAATAATTGTAACCATTTTACAGAGGAGGAAAGTGAGGCTTACAGAGGTTAACTACCTTTTCAAGTGAACATAGTGATATGGTTCACACATTTGTTTCCTCCAAACCTCATGTCAAAATATGATTCCCAGTGTTGGGTGGGTGAGCTAGTGGGAGGTGATTGGATTGTGGGGGTGGATTCCTCATGAATGGCGTTCAATCATCCCCTTGGTGAAGAGTGAGTCCTCAGTTAGTTCATGCGACACCTGGCTGTTTAAAAGAGACTGGCACCTCCCCGGCCTCTCTCTCCTGCTACCACCGTACCATTCGACTGCCTGCTCTCCCTTCACCTTCTGCCAAGATTGTGAGCTTCAAGAGGTCCTCACTAGAAGCAGATGCTGGTGCCATGCTTCTTGTACAACCTGCAGAATCATGAGAAAATTAAATATTTCCTTTATAAATTACACAGCCTCAGGCATTTCTCTGTAGCAATGCCAAGACTAGACTAATATACACGGGTATTAAATAATACATAGGTACAGTTTGTAGTGATTCCATAGTTTCATTACTGGGGTGTGTGTAGGGAGGAATTTATGCAGCTATCTATTTGGAAAAAGGTAGCTTGGGAACCTAAAACTTAGCTTGTATGAAAATTGTATTAACTGAGAAAACTTCAGTTGCTCA